GCCTCTGGTGGCCACTTCCCCCAACCCCGGCGCAGCGGCGGGAGGCGGCCGGAGCCCGGGGTGCCAAACGCTCATGGGTCCGCGCGGTTGTGATTTATTATCGTTTATTTCGAAACTGAAAACGCCCCGCGCGCGTGAAGAGACCTTGTGACGGTGCGAGCCGCTCTGCTCTTCCGGGGCGGCGGCCTCAGCGCGACGGATGCAGGGACGAGCCCGCGCGGTTAGTTGAAGTAGGGCTCGCGCAGGGTTCACACACACGCACGCACGCACGCCCCTCTGGGTTCAGCAGGTGTGCGGGGCTATTTCAAGCCTGTCCCTGGCAAACTAAATACAAGCAGGGTCTGCTGTTTTAAGAGCCAGGAAGGTCTCCAATTTGTAATCAAAACCAAACGGTCTGTGCTGAGGCTCTTTGTATTTGCGAGTCATTTTGGTTCCCAAATAGGGGAGGAGTTTGCAGTAATCGATGAACTGCTCTAGTTTGGTCTTGTACTTCTTTCGGGTGTATTCAGAGCTCCTGGGGTTATAGGCTGCAAAAAAGTAAGCAACATAGTACATTAAATCATCTCATGTTTCTGTTGTTTAAACTCACTGCCATCATGATATAGGGGCATCCTACATAATTAGTGAGCTATTTCTGCCTAATTCTGACTTTCTAATGAGACAAGAGAATGGTGGACTGGTCTTAAAAGGAAATTATCACAAAACAACTTGAGACCTAGCATCTCCTACTACTGCTGTGAACTAATGAGGCTAGAGAACGAAGAAAAGCATGCATGTTGGTTTTGGGAGCAACAAATTTTGGGAAAACTTTACAAGGGACCACGGCACAAAGCGCCTACCTACCAGAAAGATACATGGTCAGAAGAGAGGTGGCTCAGCTTACATTCCTTAAAGCATGTTCAAAAACTACATAGCTCCTCTTTATTTCTCCCCTGTAGCAGCTGAGGCTTTTCTGTCCAGAAAACTGCTACAATGTATGTAGAGTAAAGGCACCAAACTCATCCGGTGCCTCAGCCCAGATGAATGGTACAGAGCTGGCTCTGTGGGTCAGATCAGGCCTACAGATAACCCACCCCCACTGCATGCTAGATGTTGTGCCCTCTTCAGCTGATCCAGGACCTGAACATGCAAACCAGCAGGTTTGCCTTTTGTGTATTGTTGGAGAGGAAAGGGGCCACATGACAACTAGCCCCCCCCCCAGTCAGCAGTGAGGGGTGGAGCCGCATGAAGGGCAGCCCTCAGCCAATCAACAATGGGGCTTGCCATGATATGCCCACAAAAATGGCTAGCACTGCGATCAGCCCAAAAAGTCATCCATCTGCCACATTGATTTTGGTAAATCCCGATTTATGAGCAAAGGCTGAAAGGACTAGGGTTATTTAGTCTGGAAAAGATTGAGAGGGGACTTGATAACAATCTTTAAATGCCTGAAGAAGGGTGATTATAGAGAAGATGGCAATGGGCTTTTCTCTGTGACTGTAGGGGTCATGACTAGGAGCAATGGCCTCAGGATTCAGCAGGGGAAATTTAGGTTGGAGATTAGAAAGAACTTTCTGACTATGAGGGCTGTCAAGCATTGGAACCAGTTACCTAGGGAAACTATGGAATCTCCATCCTTGGAAGTTTTCAAAAGCAGGTTAGCCAGACACTTGGCTGAGATAAGTTAGTCAGGGATGATCCTGTCTTGAGCAGAAGTCTGGACTAGATGACCTTGTGAGGTCCCTTCCAGCCCTACTTCCCTACGATCCCATAAACTGAATATGAGCCAACAGTGTGCTTTTATTACAAAAAAACCTAACAGGATACTGAGTTGTAACAACAGGAAACTTGCTTGCAAATCTAGGGAAGTGATGATTCTAATCTGTTCAGCACTAGAGAGGCCTCACCTGGAGTACTGTGTCCAGCTTTGGGCCCCATACTTCAAGCAAGATGTGGACAGACTGGGAAGAATACACCCAAGAGTGACAAAAGCTATTAGAGGCCAGGGAAGCAAGATTTAGGATGAAAGACTGATAGAAGTAAGATTATTTAGTCAGGAGAAGAAAAGACTGAAGTGGGGATTTGATAAGTCTTCAAATACCTGAAGGGCATTTTTAAAGAGAATGGCAATAAACTTTTCTCTGTGGCTGTAGGGGGTAAGGCTATGAGCAGTGGCTTCAAGCTGTAGCAAAGGAAATTTACATTAGAGATTAGGAAGAACTTTCTCGCTAGTAGGGTTGTAAAGCATTAACACCAGTTACTAGTGAAACTGAAATCTCCATCCCTGGAAATTTTCACAAGCAGGCCAGACAGGCACTTAGCTGGGATGGTTTAGTCAGGAATGATCCTGCTTTGAACAAGGGGTTGGACTAGATGACCTCATGAGGTCCCTTCTAGTCCTACTTTCCTATGAGTCTATGATCCTATATAGTAAATAGTGCAGTAATACAAGATGATATTGTGTAGTATTGACCTATACACTTAAAATAGCTGTATAACTGTTGAATGACTTTTGGTTTTAATAAAAAATACTATTAATCTCAACTGCTGGTGCAATCTATAGAATTCCAATGCAGAGTCAAGCTGTTTGTCCTTGCATCAGGAGGCTAAGGCCATGTCTACACAAAGAGCTATACCTATAATGGTATAGGTATGTTAGTACACTAACCTACAAAGCACTCCTAGTATGACACAATAATGCTGACAAGGCAGGGCATTGCACTGGTATGGTGCTGAACTGCTTTCAAAATCTGTTTTGAAGCCACAACTTGGTTAGAAAAAAAATCCCCAAAACCCTGCACTCTCTGGGCTGCCCGTAGATAATTAAAATTTCTTTAAGGTACTGTTGTCCTCTAACTATCTAGAAGCAATGAAGAAACCAATAATAACCCGTTATAATGAACATTTGAGACTAAGTTTAGTCATACCCCTCTAGGGAGGTTAGAAGTCTTCACAGGAAGTTTTACTCTACTAACCTGTATCTCTTCAGTTAAAGGTCAAGCTTAAGTGTGCTACCTTTTATTAATGATGTTACATAACTATCTACTAGAAAAGCAAGGTGATCTGAGAATGTAGATTAAATAAGAACAATGTAGAACTACAATATCAGTAGCATACTGATTGTACAGTAACCCTTTGTAGTTGAAATCTTCATCAGTAACATCACAAACAAGCAGTCTGGTGAACAAAGCTTTGCTAAGCTAAAGATTGCTAAAGATCTACATAAATCAGGATAAATATTTTACCTCTGTCCATTCCCAGAAAGTTATCAGTGCAGCTTTTGCCTCACGTTCATAGATAAATTAAGTGCATCAGTACCTGAGACCATAGTATAGAGCTGGCCTAAATAGCTACTAGTGCTGTATGTTAATCTACAGTCTCTTTCATTTATATGCTTTTTCAAAGTATTTGGACTTTGTTGTTATATTTGGCATGAGCATTGCTTAAGGTAACCAGGCTGAGATTTTATTAGATCTTTCAGCAGACTTTATTATACTGATTTTGACCAATTTTAAAAATAGTTCTGGTTCCCAAGCTAGCTTAAAGACAGTTTCACTTTTTAACTTTAAAATATGTTAGTACTGTAAGGGTACTTTCCCTATTGTAGAGAGGACTTAAGTGACAGTTGATTCTCATGATACTTTTGTAGATTGCCTATTATTACATTTACCTATGTAATTCCTCTTCTGTCTTGGTGCATTGTGCATTTGCCAAAGATTTGTTACACTTATATAAGTCATTATATATCGTATTTTTAAAAACATGTTTTGGACTTCATAAGACAGAGATTTGATCTACATTGAAAATTTTTGCTGAAAGCTATATTGGTCTTGGGGCACAAAAACCCAGCTGAAATAACTACACTGGCAAAAACCCTGTGCTGACGGAAGAGGGCTTCTGCTGGCATAGATAATGCCACTCAGGGAGGTGATGTAGCCATACCGGCATAAAAACTCCTGGTGCCACACACCATTCTGCCAACATAGCAAAACTGGCATAGATCTAGTGCAGTGCTTCCGAGATATCTGGGGCACATTTGTTTCTGGATTAAATTGGTGGCCCACTTTACTCTTGCCTCCTAGGCCTGAAGAGAGGGGTGTGTGTGTGTAATATATATACATATACAAACACAGCATATTTACCTGAGTCCAAAATGACTTCAAACTTAAGATGATACTCCAAGAATTAGATTCTATACATGGAACATAGTAAATTGCATATAATTTTCCATATTTAGAATCCAATTATTGGAGGGTAGTCTTATATTCATTCCCCTTCCTTCTCTGCAGTTGCTGTGGCAGGGAAAGTAGCAGTTGGGAAGGTAGATGCCAGGCCCCCATCCCTTGCCCCCTCATGCCTGTGCCTGCCTTCTCACTCCTCCCCAAGCTATTTGCCTCCCCCCACTGACTGCCACTGCTGGCAACTTATGCCCGTGCTGCCTGTCCCTCTCAACCCCTGCTTCCCCTGCTGTAGGCAAGGGGCTGGGGCAACCTGCAGGGTCTCCCCCATGCCTCCCTGTAGCCACACACTGTGGGTCTCCCTCATGCTTGGGGTCAAAGAAGGGTGGGCAAAGGCTGTAGTGTAGCAGCAGTCCCCACAGGAGCAGCTGGGGCAGGTGCAGGGTGCTGGACAGGAAGGGAGACCATTTACCTCTTCACATAGGGGCTCTTGCTAAACACCTCCATCGCACTTGTGGCATACTGTTGTTCCATGGTACACCCTTTGGGAATCATTGCTCTAGTGGCAGCAGCACCATACTTTAAGAAATCCAGGAAA